GAATTGAAGCCCTGCTTGTACATTTAACCCCTTGAAGTCAAGGCTTATTATTCAGTTATTAATTGTAAGGCTTATTATTCAGTAACTGTTATAAATTATTCAGTAACTACTGTAAATTGGAGTTAAGAGAATAAGTTTCTTCTTGTGCTGATGAGAAATAATATCTTCTATCTATTGGGTCATACTGAGCCCATTAAGTGTGTTCTCTCAATAATTCAATCATCTCTCAATAATTACAGATCTATGCACTTCTCCATTCAAAGCTGACATTTTTATTACTTTGTTTTTCCAATACATACAAGATAACCACACCCCATTAATCACCCATGCATGTCTGACACCCAGAGACTAAACGAATGAAATGAAAATGAAAGAGAATACGTCATTGTAAATTTTCTGCTAACCGGTGATCATTCAATGTGCTTTAACTCCTTAACTACACTGAAAAAAGTGTTTTTTTATGTATTTGATTCAAATGTGTAGGTATATGTCCTTCATGTGGAACCAAAATGCACATTTGAAACAAATTCAAATCTACTTTTTTTTCAATGCACAGGTTTATTATTCAATAACTGCTACTAGATATTCTGCATCTATGGGGTTTTACCACAAGCAAAAGTATAGATTGGCTTAAATACTTAACTTGTTGATTGATATATGTCTATAAAACTGGTCGAATAAAACTAATTCCAGTTTATAAATCATGTTTACTGTCTTTGTTTGCACTTCAGGGCATTTAGATTCCAGACTCTCCATCAGACTCACTGATGCACTGCCACTAGCCAATCAGCAGGGCAGAAAAATACTGGCTGGGGGTGTTGGAGAAAACACCCTTGACCAATCAGATGGGAGTTTCTAGGCAAAAATAATGCATTGCTTTAAAATGATCTGCACACTTTTCCTATCAAACACTTCACCTTTCAGGTTTAGTAAACATGGCTTATGTAACAAAGCCTGTTTATACAAGTGAGGTGCTGATTTTAAATCCATTTGCAAAAACTCATGTTAAAAAATCAGTGGTTAAGTGAACAGAATTCATGTTTAAATGGGACATAGACTCATTTTAGTCAGTATCCCCAAAGTATCCCCACATTATAAACATGTGCTGTATTATTGGAGTGTTGGGGGTGCATAGAAGAAGCGTTGGCTACTCAAAGCTTTTGTCCATAATGATGTTTTGTTTATGACTCTTAGAAAATATGGTTCTTCAAGGGTTCTCTAGTAAAGAAAATGGTTCTATATAGAATAATGAACACACAAAGAACCCTTTGCATGATTAAAGTGTTCTTAAGATTGATGGAGAATGTGCTGCGGATGGCTCTCTATAGAATCTTTTTTAAAAAATGTTCTATATAGCACCAAAAAGGGTTCTTCTATTGTAACACACTTGATATCGTAACAATAGATCATGCTCTTTTGATTAAATGGGCAAAATTCCCATGGACACACTCAATGTTGCAGAAAGCCTTCCCAGAAGAGTGAAGGCAGTTGACGCCACAAAGGAGACCCATTGTTTTGGAATGAGACGTCCAACAAGCTCATATAGGTGAGATGTATAGGTGTCCACATTGGCCACATACTGTAAGCATATTATTGTGCTACTATGTGGAGTTGGTGAAAATAGCCAGTGTGTAGTTAATGCTATTTTCACAGGGTAAATAAACACTATCTTTTGTGTGTTTAGTACTGAAGCAGGTGTGAACCAAGCACTTCAGTATAAAGGTCTTTATTTCAACACAAGGGAACTTACTTAATAAAACATCTTGCGAATACTGACAGAAGCTGTTTATAAATTCCTGAATACTCCTGCTTTTTCACTACATTATTCAGTGCTTATGCATGTGTCATGAAGTCCTTATGTAGGTATCTTTCAAATAAAGTGTTACATTTCATCTTCTTTCAAGCAGCAGTAGCTACAGAGTGGGTGGAGTCAAGGAGGCCTGCATGTGAGCGCTTATGAAGCAGACGAAGTGGACGCACGTTTGGTCCAGGGTGACCTCTGCAGCTCTGGCAGTGTTATGGCAGTATTTAAATCTTTTATGTGCGGAAGAGGCCCTCTCTCGCTCCCTCTCTCTTTCAACCACACAATGATTTATTACCTGAAAAGAACAGAGAACTAATTAGTGGAGTAATTAATTATATAAATTTGCATATTTGCATTT